AGTTGGGAGCTTGAGACTCCCTCCCGATTGAAAAAGACAACCGTGTCCTCAGCTGCCAGCCCTTTCCACGTGCGCCTCCGTACCTCTGCACTTTACTTCCGCACCTCCTCTGAGTCTCAGTGTGCTTTTCTCTTTCCTTCTAGTTGTAGAATTTCCACTCAGCCAGCCTTCCTGTGGTTCTGGATGATGTCCATTTTGTCTTTTAGTTGTATTTTTGAAGTGGTTGTGCGAGGCAGCAATTTCCAGTGTTTACCTATGCCACCATCTTGGTTTCTCATCCCCAACTCCTTTTATAGGATCAGGATTACCCTGGTACCAAAATTAGTCAAAGCCATTACATAGCAAGGTAACTACAGACCAATATCCCTCATCAGCATAGACGCAAGAATTCTCAACACGATATTAGCAAATTGAATCTAGAGCTATATGGGATCTAGATAATACATCATGACCCAGAGAAGTTTGGATAAGAAAACCAAAGATATTATAAAAAAAGGAAACCACAGACCAGTGTCCCTCCTAGAAAAAGCCACCAAAATCCTTAATCCAATTGTGGCAAATTGAATTCCTCAAAATATGGAAAGGCTGACACATCACGGTCAAGTGCAATTCATCCCAGGAATGCAAAGTCAGTTGAACATGTGAAAATCAATCCACACAAGTCATCATGTTGACAAACTCTAAAAGAATAGCTATCGTCCTATGCTTAGAGGCAGAAAAAAAGTTTTTTACACAATTCAACACCCATTTCAATTCAACAGAAATAACTATAGCACACTTTCTCGATTAATTTGCTGAGAATTTCTGTTGAATTGAAATGGGTGTTGAATTGTGTAAAAAAAAATTCTGCCTCTAAGCTTAAGACAATAGCTATTATTTTATAGTTTGCTAATATGATGAAGTACGTGGATTGATTCTCACATGTTAAACCAACTTTGCATTCCAGGAATGACTTACACTTCTTTGGGAAAATCAGAGCCAGGGCCCGACCCCACATCATATCCAAGGCCTGGGTCAGCTCAGGTTGCAGACGGCTGGGAAGAGCATCACTCACAAACTGCAAATCAATGCATTTCTGGACCCGATCAAAGAACGGAGGTCACAGGGCAAAGAGCTAACCCCAAATCTGGAGAGGAGCAGGACCCAGCACTTGGTCACCTGGGACAGATGCTGCAGGCGCCAGCCAGGGACAGATGGGTCCCAGAGCCAGGCTGGTGTCTGGTCAGGGTAGGGGGCAGGCTGAGGCTCCCCTAGGCCACAGGAGGGGCCATCTGGATGGCAGAGGGTGACACAAAAGGATCAGAACACTGTGGGGTGGGGGTTGGGGGGAGGTGGGCTGGAGGTTCCAGTAACCAGCAAGCCCAGGGGACTGAGGAGCTGGGTGGATGAACAGGCAGGGATAGCGGTCAGCCCTGGCTGTGGAGGTCGGAGGCCAGGGGTAGTAGGGCCTGGCTGGGGAGTGGCCAAGGGGAAGTGGCACTTGCTGCTTGTCATCTCACTGTCAAGTCAAGTGTAATTCATCCCAGGAATGCAAAGTCGGTTGAACATGTGAAAATCAATCTACACAAGTCATCATATTGACAAACTCTAAAAGATTAGCTATCGTCCTATGCTTAGAGGCAGAAATTTTTTTTACACAATTCAACACCCATTTCAATTCAACAGAAATAACTATAGTACACGGTCTCGATTAATTTGCTGAGAATTTCTGTTGAATTTCTTCCATCTGCCTGATGATACTCAGATCTCAAGATAACAAGGTACCGTGGTGATCAGCAGAACTGCTCAGATAACACCCAGACACGGACGTTGCCCGACATCCAAGATAACCTGGGCGCGAGAGCAGGGCTCTGGGTCTGAATCATCCACTTCCTCCACTCTGGATTGGAGGATCCAGCAAACCCTCCTCTGACCCCCCACCCCATCCCCCCTGATCTGGAAGGATAAATGGGGAGGGGAGAGTGGACTGGGCAATAGCAGCAGGGACCGGTCAAGGTAAGCACCCCCACCAGACCCCACCATCTGGGGTTCGTGCACTGAGTAGCTGAGCCTCACATCTGGAGCAGCAGGACCTCAGACTCCGGGTCTCAACTGACCCCTCATCCCGGGTCCTCGACTCCATCTGCACCCACACCCTGCAGACGCCCGCCTGGCTTAGCCCCCCTGGGTCAGGCAGCCCCTCCTGGCTCCTTCCAGATGCTGAGTCTGCTGGTGCTGGCACTGCCCCTCCTGCTGAGCCTGGGCCACGCGGCCCCTGGTGAGTCCTGACCCTGCTCAGCCCTGTCCCTGTCCCTGTCCCTGCCCCTGTCCCTGCCCCTCACCCCACAGGCTCCACCACGGGTGGTGGGCTCACAGAAGCCCAGGTTTGTGTGGGCACAGGGGCCGGGCTGTGTCCTGTTCTGCCCTGAGGGTGTTTCCTGCCCCAGCCCCAAGCCAGGACCTGGAGAGAGTGGGCATCGTGGGGGGGCAGGAGGCCCCTGGGAGCCAGTGGCCCTGGCAGGTGAGCCTGAGAATGAAAGAGCAGTTCTGGATGCACTTCTGCGGGGGCTCCCTCATCCACCCCCAGTGGGTGCTGACCGCTGCGCACTGCCTGGGACCGTGAGTGTCCATGGGGCCTGATGGGGGTGGGGGGTGGGCCTGGGCTTCATCCACACTCCCTCCTGGGTGAACAGGAGGCTGCTCAGTCCCCTGAGTAGGTGCCCCTCCCTCCAGGGAAAAGAAAGATCCCGCAGACCTGAGGGTGCAGCTGCGGAAACAGCACCTCTATTACCGGGACAAGCTGCTGCCCGTCAACCGGATCATCGTGCACCCCAAGTACTATGCCGTCCAGGAGGGGTTTGACATCGCCCTGATGGAGCTGCGGGACCCTGTGAACACCTCCTGTAACGTCCAGCTGGTCGCTCTGCCCCCTGCCTCGGAGACCTTCCCCCCGGGGACCCCCTGCTGGGTGACAGGCTGGGGTGATGTGGACAATGGAGGTGAGTGTCACGTACAGTTGGAGGGCTTAGGCGGTGGTGGTGGCGGGGGACCAGTCACACCCATGACTCAGCTCTGGGGTTCCTTTTTGGGGATGGTTCTGATGGGCCAGCTCAGGGAGTGGGAGTTTGGTGAGTCTGGCAGGGGAGAGCTGGCAGAGGCACGGTGTACCAAGAGCAGGGACTTGGTGCCTGGGCAAGGAAGTCACTTAGCACCTCCGTGCCTCAGCTTCCCCTGGCACGAAAGGCATAGTCACAGTTGGTATTTCATGGACGGGATATAGGAAGAGAGAAAGCACACACATCAGGTGCCCTTATTAATCAGGCAAAGCGAACCGTGCCCGTGGATGAGCTCGGTCTGACCCCTCCAGCACCATCGTCTTGTCTCCCTTGATCCACAGCTCAGAGCAAAGCCTTAGGGACACTGAGCATGAGCAGGTGCCTGCGGGAGGCATGTCCTCTGGGCCTCCCACAAGGAACCTGATTGTGTCATCACCCAAGCGCCCGTGGAGACACAACCTCCAGCCCCGAAAACTGAGTCCTGGGGTGAGGGCCAGCCTGGAGGCCGAACTGGGAGGAACCCGGGCCTGGCTCCTGCCCCTTCCCTTCCCAACAGGGGAGTAAGTGAGGTCAAGGACGCAGGCCCAGCCTAGGGGGAGAAGGCGGCAGGTCAGCAGCGTTCAGCCCTGGCCCCAAGGAGGCAGCGGCACCCCCTGCAGCCAGCCCCGGCCCCGGCGCCATCCCATGGCAGGTTGGCTGAGCCGCCCAGCCCAGCCTGCTTCGTCCTTCTCCTCTCACCCCACAGTACACCTCCCACCGCCGTTCCCCCTGAAGGAGGTGGAGGTCCCCATCGTGGAAAACAGCCTTTGTGACTCGGAATACCACATGGGCCTGTACACGGGGGACAACGTCCGGATTGTCAAGGACAACGTGATCTGTGCCGGGAACGAGAAGAGTGACGCCTGCCAGGTGGGCCCATGTCCTCCCCCAAGTCCCCACCCCATCCGCCTCTCCAGCCACTTGCTGACCCCTCTCCTCCCCAGGGCGACTCTGGAGGGCCCTTGGTCTGCAAGGTCAACGGCACCTGGCTGCAGGCGGGTGTGGTCAGCTGGGGTGATGGCTGTGCCCAGCCCCAGAGGCCCGGCATCTACACCCGCGTCACCTACTACCTGGACTGGATCCACCAGTACGTCCCCAAGGAGCCCTGAGCCCGTCCCTCGGGCTGCCACCCAGCCCCCTCCTGTCCCCGACCACTGCTTCCTGCCCAAGTGTCTGCCCTTTCCACCTCCCCTGCCCCCTGCACTGAGCTCCCCCAGCCCAGGGAGTGGGTGGTGGGCACTGCCCCTCATTAAAGACATGTGGTTGCTGTGTGTCCAGCTGTGGGCGGCACTGAGGGGGAGGGAGGGCTCCAGGGGCAGCCACACAGCCACTGTGTGTCACTGTGGGGACCCCTGGCCCTGAGCACTGGGCATTGCTGTGGGGACACCCCCTCCCCAGCCCCTGGTGCCTGGAGTTGTGTCTCCCTGGGGAGTGGTCATGTGTATTCAGGTCACATAAAACAACACAGAACATTGAATAGGTAATTCTTGCCCAGCCAGCGCGGCTCAGTGGTTGCGTGTAGACCGATGAACCAGGAGGTCACGGTTTGATTCCTGGTCAGGGCACATGCCCAGGTTGTGGGTTCAGTCCCCAAAGGAGGCGTGCAGGAGGCAGTGATGGGTGATTCTCTCTCGTCATGGATGTCTCTCTCTCTCTCCTCCCTGAAATCAATAAAACATTTTTAAAAAGATAATTCTGTGGGCACCCAGGTGCCCAGCAACGGGGTCACAATAGACCCCTGGCCCCACACCCTGGGGCCTCCGACCACGCAGTGCCCTGCCCTCCCTCCCAGCACCGTCCTCAGCTCTCAGGCCGCACTGAGCTCGCACATGTGGACGCCGTGCGGCTGCCTAAGTGTCACAGGTGCAGGCGATGGAGTGAGGCGGGAGCCTGTGTCACACCCAACACCATGCGGGGCCGTCCTCCCGCGGCTGCGTGTGGGGAGGACAGCATTTCTCACCGTCAGCGGGTCAGCTCCCAGGGAGCCTGCGTCCAGGCTGCTACAAGGGACAGAGGTGCCCGGTCAGGGTCTCAGGACCAGGGCGGCTGTCCCTGTGCGTACGTCCTGCATGTCTGCCTGTGCCAGTGAGGGAGCCGGGCCTGAGGTCCGAGCACCTCCGTTTCCTGGGAGCCAGGTGACCCCCACAGGCCTGTCACCCTCCAACGCCCCATTCTGGGGTGGGGGGCATCTCATTGAGTTTTAATCAGCATTTCATGGGTTTTGGTGTGGGAACCCCTTTCACATTGGCGCCCCCTCGGCCGGAGAGGGGACAGGTGTCACCTGCAACACTGACGGGCCCACGGCCAATGCTTCCACCTCTGGGATGTGCGGCCACCGAGCGAGCTTCCTGTCACCGCTCAGGCCCCGGGGCCGCTGGTTTGTGCATCCGGCTGCTGTGCATTCAGCTTGTCTCCTGGGCACAGCGTCCCATGACCGAGCTTCGCTGCCCACGGCGCAGACTTGGCAGGTCCACGTGGGAGGGCCTCTGCCCACTCACCCTGGGCCTCCCCGCTGTGGACACCGTGGTGGGGAGCGCTAACCCCCTCATTTCCTTTCATCCTTAGTCATCTTATTGCAGCCAGATACTGTCCTTCCTCGGTGTGAAGGCAGAGATGGACCGGCCACCACCCCCTCCCTCCCTCTCCCCGCCCCACACTCTTGGGGCTGCTGCTGCGGTCCGTGGGCTGAGCTCCCTGGATCGCTCACCTTGCACAAGCGCATTTACACTTTTCTCGGTGCGGCTGTGCTGGGGACACTGCGGGACAAGGGCTCCTCTGGTGGAGGGTGCAAGGAAGGAAGGGTACATGGTGGGGCCTGGGGCTGAGACCCCACACTGGGGGAGCAGGGAGGAGGCCGGGCACCTGCTTCCCCTTATCTGGCCCTGGGATCTCGAGGAGCTCAGCCAGCGGCAGTGACAGATAAAGTGAGTGTTGGCTTATCAGGGAGGGTCAAGCGGGCCTTCCGTTGGGCCAGGGGGGCTGCGGGGGGGACAGCGATTCCTGTGTGCCCACATGGGTCCTCCTGAGGGGGCCCCGTGCAAGGCCACGTTCACTGGCTGCTGATGACTCGCACCCCAGGTCCAGGCGAGGGTGGCACTCTGGGGTTCACCACCCCTCCTGGAAAATGGGCACAGAAAGGAGTCCTGTCAGTCATTGTGGGGACCACACCCATGGTGATTGAAACCCAGGGGGTTTGGGGTTCCTGCAGGAAACCATGTATGGGGCGCCGGTGGAATGAGTGGGGTCTCAGTGCTGGAGGCAATTGAACTAAAACAGGTGAAGGCCTGAAGGCCCATCATATGGGGTCCAGGGAAGGCCCTGGGGGTCCAGGAGGCAGAGGACTGGGTCCCTCCTGATCTGCCCCACCCCACACTGGGCAGCATCCGGCCCCCGGGGCCTAGGAGGGCCGGCACGGGCTCCAGCCCCACTCCCCTGAGCTGGACAGAAAGGGCAGTTTCCCTTTTCCCGAGGGTCACCTCCTATGTGTGTGGCTGTCAGCGGTTCACGCAGGCCCTGCACCCAGAGGTGGTGCCACTCGCATCCGTGTTCACCAGAGCAGACGTGGCTCACGCACTTCTGAGCTGAGGCGCTGGGCGGTGCTGGCGGGAAGGAGACCAATCTGTTCCCAGAGCAGCTCGGTCCTGGTGGGTCATCAGACAGCCTGCCCCCGTGCCTCAGTTTCCACAAATCTCAGAGAGGACTCTCCCATCGGGACTGTGACTTGGAGCTAGGCAGGGAGCTGGGGGTTGGGACCGGAAAGTCATCGCCCTTCCCACAGCCCCCTAATCAGCTCAGTCATGAGGCCCTGGCCAGACAGAGGACCGTTTGGGAGGGCTGCCGATAGCTGGGCAGCGGGTGCTGTGCCCGGCTGATCTTGGTGGATTTCACAGGACCTGAGGATGGGGACTCTGGGGAGGGGAGGGGAGGGGAGAGTCTGGTCACAGGGCCTGAGTTGTCTCTGTGGGTTCAAGCTGGGCCTTGAGCTGGGACCCTTGTGCGAAACCCCAAGACCAGGCTCCTGGAGGACTGAGGAGCCAGTGTGCCCACGGGAACTGTGGGGACCTTCCAGGAGGGGGCAGCACTGACCACCACCTTTGTCCAGGTGAGGAGAAAAGGCTCAGGTTTGCAGCCAGGATGTCTGGGGTGATGATTGGTCCTGCTGTGGTCTTTTTTTCCCCAAAAATATTTTTTTATTGATGTCAAAGAGGAAGGGAGAGAGAGATAGAAACATCAATGATGAGAGAGAATAATGGATTGGCTGCCTCCTGCATGCTCCCCACTGGAGATCAAGCCCACAACCCCGGCATGTGCCCTGACAGGGAATTGAACCCTGGCCTCTTCGTTCATAGGTCGACCCTCAACCCCTGAGCCACGCCGGCCAGGCCTGCTGTGGTCTCGATAGTACGTAAGAAGAATAGAGCCACAGTTGTTTAGTGATTATTCACCCAACTATAGATAAGAAGTTTCCTTACAGACCAGGGAAACTGGAGGGTGAAACAAGGCTGTAAAAAGATAAGATGCCTCGGTGGGTCAGTTACTCAGAAAAGAAATACATTTTGAGAACAGACCATGGACAGGACACGCTTTGATTTGGTGGCTGTGCCTGGACCCTGACCGCCCCGGGAGTTTGCTTCAGGAACGCTGACCATCCTCCGGTCCCAGGAACGGGCTGAGCTGTGTGTAACATCATAGAAGGTTGGCCTCCTTGTTAGGGGACTTTGAGCTCCCAGAGGACGGAATACAGACCCTGCCCTCCCCTTTCCCTGTTACACGTGCAGCTGCACGTAGCTAGCTTCTCCCTCGTGTGTATATAACCAGCCAACTGGCGAGGGGGTCAGAGTAGAATTTCCAGGGTGACTGACTGCTCTCCCACACTGCCAGCATTATTGGAATAAACACTCATATATGATTCAACCAGTCCCTGCTGAATTTGGCTCAAGTAGTGACAGGCGGCCTCGGACCCATTGTGTCCGGTTTCAGCCTGACTGTGCACCCCTGAGACAGCCACTCGCTGCCTGGACTGTAGGGTCCATGTGGGGCAAATGGAGGTGATAAGCCCTCACTTCAGGGTGTGCAACAAGGAGCAGTTGGGGCCTGACCTCAGCTCCTCCTCCATCCTCCCTCATTCCTGGGTCTTTCCTGCCCCTTCCCCAGCTGGCGCGTGGGGACTGATTGCAAAAGGATGCTGGAATGTTGTATCATTGGACTATGGTGGTGGTTATGTGACTGTATGCATTGGTCCAACTCAAATTGTGGGCTTAAAATCGGCTCAATTTAATTATGTGCGCATGCAAGATAAAGCGAATTTAAAATTTTTCATCATGGGAGTCTTTTCTTTTTTGTTTTTAATCATCACCCGTTGAAATGCTTATTGATTTTAGAGAGAGGGGGAGGAAGAGAGAGACATCGATGTGAGAGAGAACATCGGTTGCCTTCTGTACATGCACAGACCGGGAATCGAACCTGCAACCTTTCAGTATACAGGACAATGCTCCAACCAACTGAGCCACACTGGCCAGGGCGAGAAGTCTTTCCTTAAAGATATTTGTCTTGAAAGATCTGAGCATCAACCCATTTTCCTGCCAGAAAAACAGTAATTCACTGTGGCCAAGCTTTGGAGCACACAGATCTTTAGCTAATGAGTATTAACGAAGCCTGTGCTTATTATTCCCAGCTGAGCGATCCCAGGCCCGCGAGCAAAATCTCCCTAAACCTCACAGCAGGTTGCATCTATACAAGGTTGCTCCTTGGGAGTGTGGCCGATGGCTGTCTGCATACATAGGGTCTGAGGGGTGCGACACCTTCAGATGGTGGGTGTCCCTTCCTCCTTCCTCATTTCTGGACCTTTACTCCTGGGCTGGCCTTCTGCAACCTTGGCTGCACCCAGGAGAAATCCTCCAGGGGCCTAAGCCATCCCCATGTTCCCTCTGGATTGTTCCTGGGTCTTTCCCAGCCCCCCCTCCCCCCACCAGCCCTTCTCATCTCCCCTTCCTTCCGGCCCTTGCCCAGCTCATGATAGCAGTTTGCTCCCAGGGAGGGTGTGGCTAAGACCCCGGGAGACAACACACGTGCCCCAAGGCTCCATTCAGTGCCTACCATGCACCCCAGTCAAGAGGGGTGACCTACCTGCTATAAACAGGATGAGCTTGACAGGAACCCAACCAGGTAAGGGTAGCCAAGTTCGAAGTTGGAATCAAGGTATAGTTAACCACATATTGTATATAAGCAATGGCTAAGCCTCCTTCGGGAAGGCGGGCCTGTGAATGTGAATCCTGTCTCCTTTACTTGTTGCAAGTAAATCAAACTACCTAACTTCAACCACGCCTCCTTCGTGAGGAGAGCACCCCATGCTGAGCCCCTGTGGTTTGGCAATGCTTGCATTAATGGGAGACGAATGGGCGCTGGGGTGGAGGTGGGGGGAAGGCACCTTCCTGAGGCCACACAGATGACAGGGGAAGCAGGGGGTGGGGGTTCTCAGGATCCATACAGTCCCTCCCTTCAGAGCCTGTGTTGAGCCTCTGCCCCCTGGTGGCCAGTGCACTCCCACAGCCAACCTCCCACAGCCAGCCAACCTCCCTCAGTTCCTCCCCCTGGCCGGCCAGCCTCGATCAATCAATCGATCAATCAATTGGCCCCATCATCAGCCAGGCCGAGGGACCCCACCCGTGCACGAATTTGTGCACCGGGCCTCTAGTCAAACCATAATCATGAAAATGCAACACGTGTAGAAGGGGGGACAAATGCCATGACACTTCTGGAAGGGACCATATTAGGAACAAGGCTCCTACCCAACCTGAAGTCAGAGACAGAATCTGGTGCTACGAAGTTCAAAAACTGGGATCACGTAAAATCCTGAGAACTGACTGACCGCAGCAACTACTCACTTGCGAGTCAGCCCACGTCCACTAGGATGTGTGCTTTCACTTCCTTCACAGTGGCTGTCTGTGAGAACTGCAGCCAGGGGTGGCATCCAGCCGCTCAAGCCCTGAGCCTGTCTCCAGGAACCTGTGTCCTCACTTTTTCTCTACCTGAATAAAACTTGCTTTTGCTCTCACTCAGACTGCTTCCTGAATTCTTTCCTGCGCAAGTCAAACCTCCCTCAGTTCCTCCCCCTGGCCGGCCAGCCTCGATCAATCAATCGATCAATCAATTGGCCCCATCATCAGCCAGGCCGAGGGACCCCACCCGCGCACGAATTTGTGCACCTGGCCTCTAGTTAAACCATAATCATGAAAATGCACCACGTGTAGAAGGGGGGACAAATGCCATGACACTGTGGAAGGGACCATATTAGGAACAAGACTCCTACCCAACCTGAAGTCAGAGACAGAATCTGGTGTTACAAAGTTCAAAAACTGGGATCACGTAAAATCCCGGGAACTGACTGACCGCGGCAACCACTCACTTGCGAGTCAGCCCACGTCCACTAGGATGTGTGCTTTCACTTCCTTCACAGTGGCTGTCTGTGAGAACTGCAGCCAGGGGTGGCATCCAGCCGCTCAAGCCCTGAGCCTGTCTCCAGGAACCTGTGTCCTCACTTTTTCTCTACCTGAATAAAACTTGCTTTTGCTCTCACTCAGACTGCTTCCTGAATTCTTTCCTGCGCAAGTCAAGAGCCTGGAGATCCGGGACCAGGCCAGGCCAGGGCCAGCTCCCAGCCCTGAACCAGTTCGACGACATTCTTCCATGGCAAGCCAGCCAGGAAGTCTTCGCTTTTTTCTGTGTTGGTCCCTTTTCCTGTCACTTTTGTTGGTGGGAGTAAGTCTCCTACCTGAGAGAGTAAGTCCATCGGAGCAGCTAGCCACTGCCACAGCCTGGTAGGTCTGCCCTCAGGGTGTGGGGTAAGCGCATCCACATGACCGTCCCCGTCCCGGGTGGCTCCCAGGTGACAGGGCTCCACGAGAGCTGGGACTGAGCCCCTAGCCACCAAATGGACCCACCGTTTGCTTCCGCTTTCTACAGCACACCTTCTGTTTTGGCTTCTCTCTCTTCTTTGGGGGACTGGATATTCTTGACCTTGTTCAGCGCTTAGCCTCCTGTTTGAACAACTCTTGGGGATGTTGCCTATGTAATTCCTTGAGTTGTCGCAGAGACTTCCTTTGTTTCCACCCCTCATTCACAGCCTTTGAAACTTTCATCCTCATCTTCCACATCTTGCCTCTTGTGTGTGTTTTCCTGACCCTCGGAGAACCCCAGCATCTCAGTCTTACCTGGTCACCAACTGATCGGTCTCTCGCAGCCCGATGTTCTATGAGGCTGAAATAATTGAAGAAAATAACTGGCACTTTTATTTATTTTTAAACCTCACCAGAGGATATTTTTCCATTGATTTTTACAGAGAGAGGAAGAGAGAAGGAAAGACAGAGAGAAATATCGATG